TAAGATAGAAACGTTTACATTTTATGATAAATATTTTTCATCTAGTGCCTGATGACCCCTCTAAAAATCGGGCATGAACTTTTGCACTGACCTAATATTATGCTACCTCAGTTAAAGTAACCAACGAATTCTCTTTCCCGTGATGAGAAGCAGTAAAAACTTCAGGTCCTCGTCAATTAACCATAGTTTTTAATCTTACTAGAAGAAGTCTGACATCGTTTTATGAGCTGATTATTAGATCGCTTTCGACTATACAGGCACGAGGAGATGATCTTGGTACGTGATTTGCATTCATAACGGAATTAGAGAGCTAACCAGATATGGAACTGCAGGGGCGAAACAGAGTCTAGAATCGTAGTACACGGAATACGAATTAATGTAACATAATCGAATGATTCAAACACCACCGACGTATCCCCCTTCTGTTCACGGTTCGTGACGTCAACGACTACATAGCTACGCGTCGCTACTCTATATTCTCTCACCTCGAGCCCCATAAAATAACTCTCTGCACAATGTGGAGAGTTTCCTAAATGAGACAATAACATTAACCGCGCGACCGAGCGCCCCGTTCAAGTTTCGCATCGGTTAGATTTATGAGCGCCGCGAATCTAGGGCGAAAAATGGCACAGCGGGAACGCGAGCTCTGATAGAAAAAAAATTGCATCAGAGATAAATTCACTTAAACGATAGTCTCTTTGTTAAAAGTTAAAATTCAATATTTTGGTAATAAAGAAAAATTGATCCTGCATTGCGATCTCGTTTGAAATTCAAGACGACAGCTTCTTCCGTGTATCTATCATCTAGTTAAATTAAATTAAAGCTTTTAGCTTATAAATTCGTTAATAATCTTCCTAGTAAAAAGAGAATTTGCATCATGTATCAAAATTAGTATACGGAAGCATACGCGATAGCTGTGAAACATGGCATAAGTAAAAATGTGATCAGCTGTTGTTAAACGATCGGGGCGAGATTGCATAATGCTTGCATTACGTGACGATGCATTCCCTTCCTCTTTCCGCTCTTCCGACAGTCTATATGCGGTGTACATAATGCTTTAAAGTACAAGGCTAGAACAGACCAGTGCCGTACGAAATACCGGTTTGCTTCTATTTTTATCATAAACTCAACTACGTACACCTCCAAGTACTAAGAAATTAACCAATCCGTGAAGCATCGATTGATATCCGAGTGTTACGAGATGATAAATAAATATTTGGAAGGACGAAATTGATTTTGGACGAGAAATATTCGCATGAATTTAACTCTCGCTCGAAAAACGGGCATAGATAAAACGCTCCCACCTGGCAAAAACGCGTGCCTCAAATGTTATATAATTTTCCACGTCTCTCAAAGCTCCTTTGTCGCAAAGCGCTCTCGCATGAATTTCCTAATACCGAGTGACGTGGCGCTTCAATTTTCTTCTCCGAGGTATTTTTACATCAGATTTTAAAAAGAGGCAACATTATTTGCGACACTTTCTTCCGTTAGAAATTACATAGAATTTGTATCATTCAGGTCGGAACAGGGAATTTGAACCTTGAATTTAAAGCAATTACGCCTACGGTAATGATACTGTTGATCTTGTTTGTCTATTCGTTTCTACGAATGTATTTTCCTCCGGTTAATTCAAGCTTCCTTGTTAATCCCGCGTTGTAAGTGACAAACAATTTTAATATCGCAAAGTTCCCAGCAAACTTTCAGTGTACCCGAACGCAGTGGAGAGGCGAAAGCGATCGTTAGCTAAGCGATGGAATCCAGCCCGGCTCTTTCGGGCGTCACGAACGCCTCGCAAACAGAGAAACCGAGAGTTCATTAAAATTTAATCGAAATAACGCTGAGCAATTATTCCAATTACGATATCGCGATACAATTAACGAAACAGTGAATGACTATCTTCGCGCGCTGCTGCTTTTATAGCAGATAACAGATATTGTACCGGACGTACATTATTTCGGATTTCACCTTTTCCATGGCACGAACGATAACGTTTAATTATCTGTGCGCTGAATGGCACTTGTTTTTTACTCGCCACGAGACTGTTATTCAGATTTATATTTCCAATACGTCCAGCGTTAAACGAGATTGTTTTCCACGATTAAAATGCAAATTTCGTTAGGGACGTTCGATCGTAGCAATAATTGCAATGATGATGTCAGCAGACACCAATGTTTGACATGTTGTATCGGTCTAATGAATGCATCCAAAGATCTCTCGGTCTTATTATGCCCATGTAAGTATGAGTCATAGAATTAAAAATGTTTTACCAATGGTCTGATCATTATTCACTGAGATTACGCCGATATTTAATAAAATAAGTGTTACGAAGTGAACATCTCGGTTCTCGGAGAAATAAAGATGTAATCGACTGGCGTAAACCCATGTTATGCACTATTCTTGCCTGGTTGAAACAGAGCAAAAACCGTCGGAAATTTATCAACGGATGTTATAAAAGTCACTGGACTAGAAATTAATTTGGAACGATGAAGCATCTTCGAGTCTGGAGTTACGGAGCAGTGGGAAGTTGCTACCCTGTTAGTCTTCAGAGCCGGAAGGGAAGTCTCGAAGAGCTTGAAGATCAGCTGATTGGTCACTAGAGCGTCAGCTGATTTTGACAGCCCGCTCGACCTTGCGCGCATCCTAGCACGTCGCGCGCCTTCGAACCAATTCAAATCCACGTCTTACGTCGACGCAACCGCATTCGACGCGCTCATCTTCCGATAGAAAATCAATAACATCTTCTGAACTTGAACACTTTTCTTCTATTCATTTGAAGCTTCAGAACTTCTTGAATGAGTGAATTAAATCGAAGATATGCTCGTTGATTAGTCTCGTCTCCAAAGACTGGTCACGATTACCTGCGTATATACCTGCGCGTTGTTTGGTTTTCCAAAGTATATATATACATATATATATTCGGTCTGTAGCGACCCCGATCAATAATTCATTTCCTTGCTGTCACGCCCCTATTTGGTGGACTTCGCTATCAGTAAAGGAATAGCATAGTGGCCAGTATTAAACTGTCCGAATTTGGTTCTTGATGTCATCGAGTGGCTGACTAATTCTTGCTGTTCGTTATCTATGAGCAGTTGATACCGCTCACAGAATTTCCAACTAACTGTGTGTAAATATTGGAGGAGTAATCAGCCCCCGCGATTCGTAAACGGTCTTCATTCTCTTTCGTGAGTTGATAGATGATTCTTCGTGTACGTTGACGAAATGATGTTTAATCCATTTATATTAATTTTTATCCTGCATGCTTTAGTAACGACCGGAAGAGTTGTGAATATTAATAAAAATTGGTCAAATTTGCTTTTCATCATTGTCATTGTGAAATAATTGTCTTCGAGTGGTCGAGGATATTTTACCGGTCCACGAAGTCATCGTAGAGATCAGCAGGTAACTGAATGGGCTGCTACCGCCCTCAGAAAACTGAGATACCACCAGCTGTGTTCATTCGCTTGATTACTCACCGAGTGAACACAGAGTGGCTCCCTGTTCACCGAGAGCCCGTTTCACCGTTTCCGTTTCGCCTTTACCGACCGAACGGGTTGAACTCGATTCGCGCGACTCTTGATATCTTCAAAACGCAGAGGGAACTCCACCCACGGCACAGCATCGATCCACCAATCTTATTCGAATGTTCATCAATTGAACCATCGTGATTCACCGTTTCGTACGTTTGAATTTCTTTCGAACGACAACGGTAAAAGATAGACTCGATGCACGATGTAAATGAATCATAGTGTTCGACTATCGTAACTATCTTTTCATGTACATACGAAAATAGGTATCGGATGTGACACAACCCAGAGATAACAGTTGGATGCAAACACGTAGACCAAGATAACGAGAGGACCGTTGGAGTATGAATAACAAGGAAATCGATAAATCGATGCGGGTGTGTCGAGGTCTCCAAGGGAACAGCTTTTTTAGAACAGACAAAATTTCCTGTTCTACGAAAACACCCTATTTTCCCAGTGAAGAGGACGCTTTAATTTTTTCTACTCAAAATCAATAACTCGATGGAGAATCATTTAATCCTGTAGAATGTTAAAATAATGTAATAATCGTTAATCGAATGGAAAAATACGAAACAATCGAGACGCAACGACGCATCCCGATGAACGAAAACAATTACGTAACAGTTATGCACGATTTAAAATCCGCCTTATATTTAAAATCACGAGTTGATTCCGGCTTATCTTATCGGAAGTCGGCCACGCTGTATTCTTCGCTCGGTGATACGAACACAAGCATGCGAATGGCAGGCAATGGAGCAGGCGATGCACGCAGTTTACGACGGAACCGGCGGTACTGATCAAACGTCGAAACAGCCTTTGCATACTGCAACTAGCGACAGACCCGTTGTTCAAGGTTGACCGCGATAAATCGGTCAAAGAAGGGTTATCAGAGACCCGTTCTACTATAAACGTGACTTGATAAAAGTTCTGAATTCAAGTTCGCAAAATTCCAAGAAACGTTTTCTCACATTTTCTGTAGCTTCTCTGTCATACCGTTGTATAATATAAACTGGTTGAAAGACAAATTCGTTAAGCTTTGTTTCTCGCTTCTTTCAACTAACCATTGAAGATTAGTTTTTCGTTCTCACGATCAAAGATCGCTTTATGGTTCCGCGAGCTTTTCGAAGCTCTCACGGAACTTCATTGAGCACTGGAAGCGAGCCAATCGGAGATCACAGTAGAAAGAGGGCACGTTTACGCACGTCGACGCGTGTGAATGACGTCACACCGTGACGCGTTACATACGTGCGTGCACGCACAAGATACGCTATGCGATTACGACGGATCGTAACAGAATAAAATAGCGATGCAGAGACGCGAAACGATTTGAGATTATCCCGACCAACATTCGACAAGATCTCTTGTGTAAATTGAATTAAAAGATGTCGTTTACTATTCGGTTACACGACGTCAGGCTATTTTATTCTGCGAAGATCTGTTGGTTAAAATCGAGGCAGAAATTGGAATAAAACTTACAGCCTGCTGCTGGGTTCGTTGCTAGCCTCGTCACCTTCGATTCGGTAAACCTTACCAGACATCACGTACTCAAAACTATCTGCCCTGGAGCCACCTTCCTGTTCCGTCGCGTTCCACTCCCCACCGTCAGGATAACCATCCTCTCTCAAGGTCGTCGCGAGTACCAAACGAAATTTGTCACCTGTAACAAAGAATAAAAATCGAATTCTAGTGAACGACGTCCATTGGCAAGGTCTCTCTTTTTCTATAAATAAAACCTTTCAAGAAAAATTGTTTTGTCCGTGCCGAAACAGCAACGCGGTGAAATCCGCAATATCGGAACACGGAAATTGATGTCTAATAATAAACTCAAGGCGATCGCATCGAAAATACATTGGGGGCGTTGCAGACATTCGTTTCGTCACGTACAAACGAGATTCACGGTTGATCGCGTACGAGCCGGCAAGAACCGTCCGCACGGTTTCGCTATTTTCGCGAACACAGAGTACGAGAGACGCGAGGGTGAGTTCCCTGCATCGACGTGTGAGTCTCAAAGTTTCGTTGCATCATGCACCCTACGTGACGTGGTCACGTCACGTTCGGAAGTAGACACGAAAACTGTAATATGTCACGTCGATTATGTGCGCGATGCAGCCGTTGATTATGCAACCGACAGACCGTCCAAAGCCGCAGGAATTGCTGCGGTAAAATGGGATCTGAATTAGCGGAAGCGATGATAATCGAACGAACATATGGACACGTTTCTAAAAATATTTAGTTCTCTCTGGCACCGAGCGAACAATTATTGGCAGGAACGGATGAAGACATTCGACTACGGTTACAGAAAATAATATCCTGGCATTGGGGATAAGAAGGGACGTGTCGAGTTAGCTCGGCACAGATAAAATGTTCACGCAAGGACGTAGAAAAGCGCAGAACGCGTCGGAGGAATTGCACCAAGTATTTAACGTTCAATGGAAGATGCGAGCTGGCTGCATGGTACCTGTACGACCAAATAGGAAACGCGGAGAAGCCCGCGCGTAAGAATCCGGGAGAACAAGGGTCAAGGTTAAAAGTCCACGCTACGTCGATGGAAGATATAGCACAGTGATCGATATTAGCGGCCGTGGCAATGTCGAGGGGGACACTGAAAGAAACGGCGAACGAAAGCGAAGCTGGAAAAATCTACACGACCAATTGATCACGTTACGAGATGTACGTGGGTCATAAGCTTATATCACGATAATGGCATAACGATTATAGATTATCTAGTTGAGCCGTACACGTCCCGCGTTACCATCCCCGGCCATTATTAACCAATGCGAGCCGGGCGAAGAATACGAGAGCTCACGTGATTTACAGCGTTAACCTTGCCACTGACGGCAACGCGTTCCCGTTAATTTGCCCGCGTTAGAGAACCGGTATTAACGCTACACTAAATTTAAGCGTCGATACAGTCGAATTCCGCGAACGCAGTTTCGCGAAACGTATTCGACCTCCGAAACGCCGATGCGGCGTTCCGATCGGCTCGCCGATTGGTTCCAACAATTTTTCGCTCGAGCGAACCCGGAATATTTCCGACGTTGATTTCTAGACTGTGCATAACACATTGGACGACACGTCGACCACCCCCGCGTACCGAGACGCTTCAACGTGTCCTGGGGTCTACCGAAAACCGCCATCTTGTCTCATGACGTCAACTGCCGTCGAGAGGAAGAGAGAATCGTACGATAGTTATAGTTTGCATCCGTTTTTCTCGTCGGATCACGCGCATACGCGCTCGAGCAGCGCAACGTCCTGCTTGCTCTTATTCTTTAATCTCGATATTCACGCACCTGTCACGACCTCGTCGCCTCTACGAGACGAACCCAGGGCACGGTGGTACACGTTCTCTCGTCAGCTACGTACACGACGACGTTGGTTCTTCATCCCTTCTCGTTCGCACTCGACGTCTCCCGCACAAAATGATCCGACGTAACACACCCCGAATCGCTGTGACTCGACATGTCCGTACGTCGCGCGACGTTTCGGGTCTACCGAAACGGAGCTCCGGAGAAAAAACCGTGACACGTAGCAGCACACCAGCGGAGGGAACCGGGCGGAAAAAGCGCGCGCGTTACGACGACGCGGCCGGGAACGTGAATACACGCGTCGAGATCCACGGACACCGACGCAAGAGCGAGAGGAGGCACACGGTGAAAGAAAAGAGGCACGGACACACACACGGTCGCTTCTTCTCTCGGCGAGCGAGTATCGCGCGACCGACACGGCTACGAGTCGTGGTCGTTTTGACCTTGGCATTGAACTTATGGGAGCTGCCGGGTGGAAGCAGGGAAGGGGAGCGGAATACGAGCACGATAGGAGGACGGTCGGAGGGGAGGGAAACAGAACGTGGTACGGGAAAGAAGGGGGGGGGGGGTCAAAAGGAGAAGAAGGGGGGAGATTGCGTCATCTCGCGCAAGCCTGTGCGCGCCGCGCGTCAATACAGCGGGATAGCCTGGCCCTATGAACTAACCTTCATTCCCCTACCCCGACGAGGCCGATTCTACTCTCCACGTATAATACGGTTCTCTCTGTCCTTTACAATGGACGTGCTCCTTCTTCCTGCAAAATCTATCCTGCCTCTTCGCTCTGCTCTTCGTAGCCAGCTGTAAACCGGCACCGGCGGCGGGGCGATCTCGCGTTTCTAATGCGGGTTACAGCGTAGCCATTATATTTTTATGCCCGGCTTTTATGAAGCGCGTTCGGAATTACCGCGTATGGATTTTACTTGGCTGTTCTCTGACGGTGTTACCAGATGAGGGGAAACGGCTCGAAGAGAGAGACGAAATCGAGTCAGACCAGCGGAATTGACAGGCAAGAGGTAGGGATCGAGAGAGACATCGTAGGGAAACCGTTCTCGGAGTAGCGGCAAGGAAACAGGATATGAATCTGTAAACACAGCGAGCGGGCAGGGGTAGATCGACGATGCGGTGCACCCCACCTTCTCCCACCCTGGGTGCCGATGGGTGTGACGCACCCACTCCCTCTGCAGCGGCCGAATCAACGAGATACATCCAGAACTATCCGTGGGGCGAGTCAAAACGACGATACTCAGGGATCGTGAGGGGTTGGGGGGTTTGCTGCAGCGTGACGTGGCCTTGGACGCACTTACGAATCTAATGCATGTTACCGCGAATGCCGTTTCTTTATCAACTTTAGATTCATCTCTCCTGATTAAAAACGTGAATCAGTATCCAACTTTAGATGAAACAGATTGCGACGACGCGGGTGACCGGGTGGCTCGATGTACATTGGGACAGACCGCGTTCCGGCATTTTATGAATATTTTTTCTTCCCCTGCTGATTCTCGTGTACTCGTTAATGACACCTTTGTTACGCGAATGAAAAGCAATGGTACAAATACTACCGGAGCGGGCGACCTTTAGCGTCAACTTACACACGGGGAGGAGATATAAGTAGAACGTCAGTTTGTACATCCGCGTTAACGTAAGCTTCGGTGCAGCTTTTCAAGCACGTAAACCGCGAAAGACTAACCTGACAGACAGTCGCTATTAATGAGAAAGCTTTGAGAAGATGACGAAAACGCGTGAAATCCTTCCTATTGAAAAGGTACTCGCGTATGGAAACGCGTCGCGACGAGAAAATAGTACGTTGACTTAAAAAAAGGAATAAAAGTCGACGAGCTTAACCAATGCCCATTAGCCAAGGTCGTTGCTTACGTTGGAACTCCGAAGAGACAGCACGTGTGTCTATTAACGCGATGCACGTGTCGCATTTAACAAAGATATTTATCTTCAGCATCGAATTTTCTCTTTCAACATAGTTTCAAAAGTCTCACAGAAACGAGGAGAAATGTGGAACAATTTTCGTCTACGTTCTGGCATTGGTTGCAAAACCGGAAGCAGAGGTATCCAAATTCTGTTCAAGGAAAATAGAAATTTCTAAATATCGTCGCAGTTGCCAACACACCTAACACGGTTTTATATACTTACTAGCATAAATCTATTTATTCTGCGTCGCGAAACTCTCTCTCTCTCTCTGTACGCATAATGATAACGGATGATCATCAACGTAATCGAATAACGCAACTTTGTGCAGAACGTATTCAGCCTCATTCGTCAAATATTAATTTGTGTGTATGACAAAGTACAATTCTCTGTATATATCATCAATTGTTAATTTATGTTAATAAAAATGGATCTGGCGTTTTAAACAAGTCAAACTGGACGTCAAATTCGTTTACATTGCAACGTTGAACGAGTCGTGACTTACATCGATCAGATGCACGCACGCGAAGTCGTTCGTGAGGTAAACAGGCATACAAGAATCCTGACAGCGCTTCTGCGCCGAGGCAAACAAAATTTTCATGCTATCCAAGTTATCCCATCATCAACAAACGTCGTTTAATTACTTGCCCCTCTTGACAACATTGTATAATTAAAATTCAGATTCTGTTTCTAACACGAGTATTCATAGAGACGAACTAAAAAATCCTGGCCATTAATCATACAAAGCTAGAACTCTCGAGCTTATACGATCTTAAGTGACGACGCGTCGTTAAAAACGCTCGAGTTTACTTTAAAAACATTTTTTTCTCGTCCGTCGGAATTTTCATTGCGTCAGATCTCGTAGCCGAAAAAAGAAAATGAACTTTGGGAACGATTTATACAAATGACTTCCATATGTGCTCCTCGGTACTATTTTTATCGGTTCAGCACAATGCATACTTAATTACTGATCGAACTTAAACAAAACGAGATAAGATCACTTACCGATCTCCATAGGGTAGAGCCAGCTGTTTATGTCCAGGATCAAATCCATCTTGAAGGACTCGGACTCGCAGTGGAGCCTGCTCACTGCGACCCATCATCATCGATCGTCGACCAGCCAAGGGAAACCGGAAAAAAAGAAGCAGGAATGTCGTCGTGGTTAGACGTCGTCGGTTCTACGAGCGTGTATTAATATTGACGCTACACATGCGAGCACTGTATACCATCGTGTTCAACGCGAGATCCAACTAATTCTAACCGGAGGCAATTGCGTTACGAAAAAAGCTAGACATCACGTGATGGTATACGTGTCACCCACGGATGACTCATAGACTTCGGCAAACTCTTAGCGTCTAAACAACCGGGAACGAAGAGTGAAATGGGGGAATAAAAAAAAAAACGGGGCGAGTTTCTGGCTCTCGGTTTGCCGGTGACACCGTCAGCTAAGTGGAGCTGATCACAAAACGGTTCGCGATTACGAGCGAAACTCTTCCACGTAAGCAACGAGGAAGGCACGAAGAACACTCGTCCCGGAACACGTAGCAGCTACATTATTTACGATCGTTAAAGCGTGCGCGCGCGTTATTGTTTACACGTGCGCTGGTAGCGTGCACGTAAATTTCATTGGTAATTACCCGATCAGAAATGCCTGTGTTTCTGTTGAACACTTTCTTGTCACAATTACCGAAACGATTATTCTGTATCTCTCGCTACGCGACATGAACTTCGAGGTAAATACATGTCTCCCGTACCTTAGATAACGAAAAAGTAATTTTCTGATAAAGCTCGATTGAAGACTCGTCGATTAAAAAAATCAACCGGAAGTCGGATTACACCGTATCGAATGTCGGATCTAGGATTACGATCCGCGGGTTCGTAAACAAGGTGTCCTTGAAACCGTCGGCGCATACTCGCGACGAGAACTGTTCCGTGTAACGAGACCGGAGAGACACGATTCACCTGATTTTCGTTCGCGTTCGAGCAATAATTTCGTTATTAGCGGTCGCGGTGTGGGACGAAGTCGTTCTAATTACATAATTCGTCCTTGCACGAGCGCCTCGTCTTCGCTACGCCATTGTGTGGGACCGACCAATAAGACTTTTTGCCGCAAATATGGACCCGTCCGCGTGATGTGGCAACTTGGAATCTGCTCCGCGGGTCGCTCTCCCCGGGGCACGAACGTCGCGATTTTCCTTGGATTACACGCGTTAAACGCGAGCCGGTGGAACAGAGGGCGAGGTAATACGATACTATAATTCAGGCAAGGCGTGAAATAACAGACATCCACCGAAATGAAATTGCATCGCGGGAAAACGACACGGGAACACCGCGGACAGTTTGATTTACCGCCCCGGGAAACGTCAACTTTCCCGTCTGCGCAACAAGAAGATTACTTCGCGCGGACGAATCAATCTGCGGATAAGGGGAATTCGATTCTTGCATCATTCAATCTCTAGACGTTGCACCGATCGAACGCACAGATAATCCGATCATGCAATAACATCTGAAATTGTACAGTTCTCTTCGATACATGGAAATGAAACTAACGATCAATTGTCGAATGTATTTTGTAATAAATATTTATATAGAAAGTTCGTGCTTATTATTTCGCGATAGATGAACGGCGTACGATGCTCGTTCGGGAAATCACCCAGGGACGGGTCTAATTTGTATGTATCTCATTGTCCACATCGGATTTGCGTGAATTAATGAAATGTCTTTCCTCGACGTGACTCAGTATACATTTTAAGTGTGCAGCATTATGCGTCGATCCGCTCCAACGACAGGCCCATAAACGTAAACGACAGTTTCCGAGCGCAATTATTCTTAGTTTTCTACAGTAAAAGTACAGTACTCGCCAAGAGTACGAAATTCAATGTTCGCCAATCGTTTTAGGAAGAAACTGTGAACCATATGGTACATACCGAGCAGCTGGTAACCTTGTTACCAATAAATACAATTGATTTTTTAACAGGTATCGATTCCAATTTAATTCAAGAATGGAATTTGATCTGCTCGGCGCTGATACCTCGAGATTTAAAACCCACTCGACCTCATCGATATTCGGATGATTTCAATGATAAGCAGTAATTTCGCGATAACAAAAACGGTTTATCGAAAATGAAACGATTTCGGGTGCAGCCGGACGGAAAATGGGAGCGAAAACACGAAGACAATGCAACGCAAATAGTCGTCACCGGCAACGCGTTCTGTATTTCTACGGTTAATTCGCGCATTCCAGTCCTGCAGCGTTTCCCGAGAAGAAATATCAAAGAAAACGGAACGCCGCAAAGATATGACGGTAAACAGTAGTAAAGGGGGTGTGAGGAGCAAATTGAGGCAAAAAATATGGTACGAAGTTATCGCACTGATGGACGCAGACGTGAACCGTGTACTTCAATGTTAAAAAACAGTTCATCAGATATATTCTTGACTGTGCGATATCGTCAAGTTTAGTAAGGAACATTGAAGTATCTACGTTTTTCTACGTGATCGTTTCTGTGCTTCCAGCTACTCACGCTAATCGGTCGATCGTCAATTAGAATTCCACGGATCACGCGAAGGTAGATAGTCGTCACCTCGCCAGATGGTTTCCACTTAAATCCTCTTTCTCTAATTCTCGTACGTTACACACGAATCCTATCGTCCATCCAGCCGCAGTGATCTTGTTCCACATCCTTTCTTCTCCAAAATCCTTGTTCTTCGACCTCTTCCAGAACTTGGTACAATTTTACTCGACGAAACGTGTGTGCGTGAACCGATAATCGCATTGTGCACCGTCCTCTGCACTCCACGAGCGATGATCAAAGGATCCAGGCAAAGATCAAGGAGGAAGGAGAGACGGGGGTTAGTTAACGAAGAGAGAGAGAGAAAGAAAGAGAGAGAGAGGCAGGAGAGCGAAAGAGCGAGAGAGAAAGAGAAACACAGATCCCGAGACTGGCACACGGTGGACTGATCTGTTCCTCGTTGCTGACGTTGCCACCAGCTGCTCGACTTCTATGTGCCGATGGAGAGAGAGCAACGACGACCTTTACGGTCGCCCGGTGGTACGAGTTCTCCAACGAAACGCACGGAACCTGCCTCTCTAACCCCCACTTCGCCGGTCGTCTCTCACCCTCTAACCCCGGTCACCCCTCTCTACAACACCAGATAGAACCACCCTCCCGCCGACGCTTCCTCTCCATCGCTCTTGTCACACCGGCCGTACACAATCGGCTATAACCCTCCTTCTCCTTCTCTCAACCCCGAAATGCTCAAGCCCTTCACCTACCCCTTCTCGATCCTTGTTCTCCACCTGTCGCACTCTGGCTCCCTCTGTTTTCGTTCCTGTCTTCGCGAAAGGGCAGGAGGGGTGGTCTCCGGCTGGTCCTGGCGAACCCCTCTTCTCTCCCCCCCCCCCTCCCGAGAGATATACTCCCACGCAGGAGATCATCCGTGTCCCTTCTTTCTCTGGGTTTCTTTAAATTCACAATTGACAGGGATCGTGGGCTCGCTTCTTCGAGCAACGCTAATTGTAAGTAACAAATGAAACACGGATTCTTTTCGTTTCCATGCCGGTTAAATTGGACCTGTCTCGGTCTCAAGAACCGGTATTAATAAGAACTCGTTAAAAAATATCCGCACCATCTTCTCGCAATTAACAAGCATACGACATTTTCCACGCATACCATATCTTCTTATGAATCGTACAGTCGCTTGCCTGCCGCGCGACGTACGGTACAACGACGGATACTCGGCGTTTACTCGAGAGAAGGCGTGTATCGTTCCAATGGTCGAGAGGCCATGTCAGCTGGTCCTCCAAAGCGCGAGATACGTGATGACGCCTCTTCACGGTCAACTAATGGCAACCGAAGAGCTCGTCGAACAGAATACAAGGAATCGGAATCCATTTCCCCGCCCTTCATCCGTGCTACCCTCTATTTCATCTTTTAACTGCCCTCTCACCTTCACAGAACCCTGCCACCTCTCTCACGCCGCGGTCCCTTTAAAATTTACTTCCCACCGAAGCAAGGGAGTCGAGGGACGACATATCTTATTGCGTGGGCCGATCAATTTTAATTCACCATGGGAACAACATTCGTTTGACACCGATACGAACATGTATTGGGAAAATTTCGGCTGCGATCTTTTGAGAACGGTTTCACAGAGAATAACTAGGAGCACACATGTGGACACGACAATGCACCACGTACTGGATTCCAAAGCGAACGAGCACGTCGTTGACGTTTCTAGCCAGCTGGCTCGTCGTCGTTAAAGGACGACTCGACGGAAAACGGGGAGGAAAATAAAGCAAGAAAAGACAAAGCGAGAGAGAGAGAGAGAGAGAGAGAGAGAGAGAGAGAGAGAGAGAGAGAGAGAGAGAGAGAGAGAGAGAGAGAGAGAGAGAGAGAGAGAGAGAGACAGAAAGAGAGATGAACGACGACCTTTACGGCCGGCCGGTAGTTAGAGTTCTCCAACGAGAAACGCACGAAACCTGCCCACCCTCTGTTATCCCTCTTACACCCTCTTTACGCTTTCTCTCTAGTCACCGATCACGATCGTCGTCCTGTCTCCGTCCCACTTAGCCAGCTTCCATCCTCGTTCAGAGAAACGCCCACGCTTCACGTATCCTCGTCTAGCCTTCACCCTCGTAGCTTGATCCTTCTCTAGTTCACGGTGAAGGTAGCGGATACCAACCCCTCGATGCATCCCGGCGGTCGGACGGAGACGCAGATAGATTTACCCCCACCAATGCCAGGGGCGGCGCTGAGCCACCCTCTGACCTTACTTTTCTCCTCTTTCGTTGTTTCACTCGTGCTCGCCCCTACGTTTCCTCATCTCGCTCTTCGTTAAGTCTCTCCCTCGCGCCCTCTGCGGCAGGTACACACGTTGATACATCGTTTTCTCGTGTCTTTTGCCAGACAAGTTCCTTTATCCAACGATACTACTCTTCCTTTCTCGCACTGTCTATCTGCGTCCAGGGGAATATTATTCCCTGATTCCTCGTTTCTTTTATTTCCGCACGAACTTCTTCGTACACCTTCCGACCAAATTCGACTGGACTCAGAAACAGGTAGATTTACTTTTCCCAAGCGTTTAATTCGAAC